CGGAAGATAAAGAATACAGCACAGAAGAATAGAATTTCTACCATCACTCCTCCAATACACTCCACAGGAAGATGACCTGATTCATGATTTTATTAGGAAGAGAACTAAGGGCTAGGAGGAAAGGCTAGTTAGCCCTCTACAGTGACAGGTGAAGCAAGGTAAGAGGCCATTTTGAAGGGAGATGAAGTAAAAATAAGAGGACAGATGTCACAAAGCTTAAGAAAGCCCACACTTAGGAGCAAGGAGAGAAAAATGAGCCAGCTAAAGAGGAGGAGGAAGTAGGAATCAAAGAGGTAAGACTTCTAAAAAAGTAAAACATCACTTTTAAGCTAAGGAAGAAGTTTCTCAGAGGGAGAGAATCCATGGTCAAAATACTGCAGTGATGACAGTGTCTAACCAAGGCCTTCCTATACCAGGTCACGTGTCCCCTACTCATGTCTGCCTTTTTTTTTTTTCTTTCCCTCTTCAAATATGCTCTTCTGCAAGAGATACTCATTATCTTTATTTTTCTGGTCTTCAAGAAAACTTTTATAATACGTCTACAGTGTTAGCAGCAGTAAGACTTTATATATCACATTATACCCGTTCTTGAAATAATGGCCTAATTGGGGGTATGAGTAGTCTCTGTTTTTTGTTTGTGTATTGAATGCATGAAAGTGAAAAATAATTTGCCTGGACCTTTCTCTTGTAAAGTCTCAGCGTAATCCTACAAGAGTTAGGCTCTTGCATCTGTTACACTGTTCGCATCAAAAGCTCTTTGGCATGAGTTTTAGCTGTAAACTTCTGGTAGGGGATAGACCTATTAATAGATGAGATTTTTAGCCCTAAATTGATTTTTTTTTCCCCTTCAAATCACCTTCCTCCAGACAGCAGGTGCATTTATAGTTGTGCAACTTTGGGGAGTCCCTTTAGGGAATTTCCTGTTTTTCCCTTTTACATTTCACACCCATTCCTTGCTCCCGCCGCTACCATCTGCTCTCTCTTTTCTCCTGTTCAGCACTGGCTTCTTCACACCCCACTCCCACGCCCTTTTCCATCTCTCTCCGTCTGTCCAACAGCCCTCTACTTAGATTGCTCTAGTGCTTGTACATGGATCAGAGAACTTTCTCTTTCTATCAACTCACTAAGCCCAAAGGACAGTCCAAATTTACACGGCCTTTGACTCAGGCCTCTGTGAATCTGACAAACATCCCGAGTGGGCACGAGGCCACACAGGTGCTGCACTGGGGAGCATTCATTAAATAGGGTTCCAGTGTCTCAGCTCACAGAGTCCTATGTTTCTGGAACTGTGCTTCATGCATATATATCAGGGTAAAAATCATTACTAGGGTATGAATTAAGTTTAGCTGCCCTAATGTCTTTATGACCAAAAAAGAAAATACGTATTATCTACAACCTGAACTACAAATAAGTCATTGTGCTTCAATGCCACCAGCTGAATGATAGCCTACCTAGCATTAAAACTTGTCATTGATTTAACTTAGAAGCCTAGTATTGGGGCCAGCAGGAGGCTCAGTGGTTAAGGCACTGGAATCATACAAGGTTGACCATGGTTCAAGTCCTGGACCTGGTGGCTTGACACTTACACTGGGTGCATGTGCATATGTGCCAAAAATTCCAAGAGGGGAATGGAGGAAAAGGGATTGTGATTACAGCATGGCTGTCCTCACTGGGGGAGGGGGGTCGTTTTGTGCTCTCTGTCTCTGTCTCTGGCTGGCTCTCTGGTGAGTGCACATGCCCTATAGCAAAAAGAAAAGAAAAGAAACCTAATATTAAAAGTCTAGATAGTGTAGTGAAAGATTCTTGTCACCAAGTACTAGGTACTTCGCTGAACTTCTTTTAAATATGTGGCATATTTGCATAAGTACAAAATTTAAAATGGGATGCTGAACAAATGAAATCTGTGCCATTAATATACCATTTGATCATCTGGAGAGACTAGAACTCTCACTTTTAAGGTTAGCACAGTGTGGGTCTGAGTATATGACTGTTTTAGTATCTGAATATTTGATTATTTTATCCATCTGGCTGTTTTTAGGTGATTTTACAGCTAAATTAATACTGTGAGCGGTTTCAGAGGAAGCTCATTTCGCACAAATTACTGGCATTTACTAGCTATTCAAAGTGAAAAGGCAGGACTTAGCAGCATCACCTCCCACCCTGCTATTTTAAAAGAAACCCTGTGCTCAATATCTGAAATGGATGAACTGAGCAATGATCAGTTCTACCTCATTGTCCTCCCATCGGTTCAAACTGGATCCAGAGAAGAGCTGAAGTGATTTGACATACAGATATTACTAGTGCGGGTGTCATTTGTGTTATGTAAATACGCTTTGATTTTTGAAATGCTGGTGTCTCACAGGATATTGAAGCAGCAGCAAAGTCTCTACAGACCAAGATTCACCCACTTCCATGCCCAGAGGTGGTTTCTCTTGAGGTGAGAATCTTAAGGAACAAATGTAAAAAGAGAGACCCTAGCCTGTTAGTGTATTGAGTTAGACGGTGATTGTATGTGTGTATTTCCAGTTTTATTCAATAAATTAGATGTGTTTGATTGGTCTTTATATGGCCACAGTACCATGTTTCATACGAGGTAGGTAAGGAGAAGTATTATGACTTTTAAAAATTCATCTAGTAGAATTTTATAAAGATCTTTTATCTTTATCTTGTCACTGAGGAACAGCTCTCCTGTTACACCATAACAGATCATGTACCACATCTTAAGATGACAGGATGCCAACCAAAGTGGTCTTCCTGTTGGCTGATGTTAGAAATCGCACTTCGGTCCCTTCACTAAAAATTTAACCAGAGCTAACGTGCTCTAAATGCACATTACCATACAATATACTGTGGCTTCTGTCTGTTTTATTTTCCTCAGTTCAAGACCAAATTGGGAAGATGGTTGGCAATAAATAAACCATATTTATATATGAATGTGTTTGTGGTGAATGGGAACTTACTACATATAGAATAGATTCATTTTAGATTTTTAATGACCCTTTTCAAATACTGTTTTGCTTTCTACCCAACCCGAGATAAGAATAGACTCAAAACTAAAGGCTGGGAATTTGCCCCTCGATTTTCTGTGTCATCTGGAGTAATAAGAAAAGGCAATGATCAAGGATAGAAAATACTCTGGTACAAAGTTGTGCCTTGGACACGTCTTTTTCTTTGTTGAATTCTCCAATACCTTACTCTGGCACGTACAGGGCCCACACAATAGAGGTTAATCCAGCCATGAATGGCAGAGAAACTCCCAACCACAGGCCTGGGATGGTATTTTTCTTAGCTAGTCTTGCACAGCAGGATGACTAAGTAGGCCAGGCTGTTTCTCAGGCCACATGCATAGAGGTAGACGTATAAGAACCCCTCACCATTTTCAACTTTCGGAACCACTGTGCCTTCTTAATGTCTTAGAGTGAAATGTTTCTGTGGTCCTAATGCTGTCTTGGGTCACTGGCTGACTTGCCCTAAATGAGAGCGAAAGTGATGAACTTATATGAAATGCCCTCCTCTTACAAGGCTTTTTGGCAGTTTTGATCTCCTTGCCTCCTTAGGGTAGCCACCTAAGAAACCATCAAAGCTCCTAGACGTAGGATGGTGATGGAGCATGAACTTCTACATCCTGTAGACCACCAGAGTCAGACCAACAAAACAGCAGCGAACCTCTAAGCTATATGTAGCAAAAATGGTTAAGTCACATTGCTTGATACTATTTTCTCATCATACAAAATATTTTGAGAAAAAAATTGTGATTTATCATATCAGTTGTTCTTCTAAAAGATGTAATAGATACCTATTTTTCTGCATAAGATGCCACCGATAATTCTATATATATTTCCAAAAAATTACTAGTAGGACTGTTACTTAGTGTGCAAAACAAATGTCCTTGTTCTGATCATTATACACTATCTACATGCTCTGAAAAACCATATTGTACCACTTTATAAAGATGTACAATGATTATATGTAAACCCTAAATCTGAAACTTTATAAAGATGTACAGGGACCAGCAGTTAGTGTAATGGCTATGTCACTGGACTTCCATGTAGTCGACCACGGTTCGCGTCCTGGACCCTGTGGCTTAAAACTCACGCCAGGCGCGTGTGCATGCGTGCCCGAGATCCCGAGAGGAGAACGAAGGAGAAGGGATTGTAGCGTGGCCATCCCCCCTGCGGGGTGATTTCTCACTTTCTGTCTGTCTGTCTCTGTCTGTCTGGTGAGCGCATGCGCCCTATAACAAAAACCTCTCAAAAAAATTAATAAATAAAATAAAATAAAGATGTACAGTGATTATATGTAATCCCCCAATTTTAAAACATAGAAAAAAAATCAATGTAACAATAAAGAAAAAGATGTAGTGGATACATATTTCTTACACAATTAAGGGTCAAATTCATTTGAGAATTAAACTATAGAATACTAGTTATATTTCAGTTCCTGATCTCAGCCTAGATCAAATTTTTTATGTTAATTCTAGAGAATTCGTTCATGTTTAATCATTTTATTGTAACAATTTCAGTGTTTAGAATATTAACTAAAAAAATTTTTGATGATTATATAGCCATGAATGATGCAACCAGCGATAATAACAAAGTTGGCCACAAGAGGGCGTATAAAGTCACAATAAAATTCTAAAACCTGTAATTCTGCCAGGCCCTGGTTTTACTGAGAAATTTGAAAATTAACACTAGTAAGTAGCCAGATTTTTTTCTAAAATTAACATAAAATATTCTGTAGAGGAAATGCATTCTACGTATATATATGTGTGTGTGTGTGTGTGTGTACACGCACACACTTAAGTGAATAAACATTTAGACTATTATGTAAAGCCAAGTTCAATTGCCTGATCTGCTTTTTTACTTTTGAATTTTTTTTTTCCAGACTCGCTACTGGGCATCAGTAGAAGAATACATTCCCAAATGGGAACAGTTTCTTTTAGGAAGAGCACCATACCCTACTGATGTTGAAAACCAAAGTGAAGCAGAAAATACCATTCAAACTGAGGCCCAGTGATAACTTCTTCACATGCTAGTTCAAAAAACCTGTTTAATAAAGCTGAATATTAAGGAGTATGTAGATAATTACGGAGACTATAGGAATTGAATACGCTCATATTGTTCCATTACCTCCTCAATGACACGTGAAAATCTACTGGGCAGCCTCAGGTTGTCACGTAACTATTTGAAAGTCAAGAACTTGCTTCCTCCCAAACTCATGGAAGAGCTGAAAACCAATATTTAAAACTGGACTACTTACTAAATAAATTTCTAAGTCAATGTCGTATCTGCTGTATAAACCAATCACATACTGTCATTCCCATTTAAACAGTTACATTGGTTCTGATTTTTTAAAGCATCCTAGAGTTTTGACTTCTCAATTATTTGGTTATGGGGATCATGTATAGGATCTAGGTAGTTGTTTGCTTACTCTTCTGGTTTCTTTTAACAAATTAAAAGATATGATACTTAGCTGCTTTAGTATGCTAATACTCATCAGAAAAGAGATGGATAGGATTTTTGTACCTCACAGGAAAATCAAACCTCTGAAAGTTTTGGAGACAGAAAGAACTGAACTATCAAGTATGCAGTAAGTTAGCCGCTTTCAGGAATACTCAGACTTGGTTTGGAAAGTGGAGATCTAGCAGGGCTAGGAGTGGTTACTGGATTTTGACTTGAGGATTTAAGGATTGCCAGTCTTGTGAATGCAAATAACCTCTCTATCAACTTTTCAAGGTTTTTTTCCCATCTTTTTTTGGAGAGGTTTTTGGTATAGGGCACTTGCACTCGCCAGAAAAACAGAGACAGAAATCGAGAAATCGCCCCCCAGGGGGGATGGCTGTGCTATAATCCCTTCTCCTCTGTTCAACTTTAAACTTGCCCTTCCCTCACTCTTCTGTTTTCATTATTTCTGAAAAAGCTGTCTTATCAGAAAGCTCTAGGTCACAACCCTAAAAAGCTCTGAGATTCCTCACTCCACCGCAGTTTGAGAATAGGAAAAAAAAATTATATGCTTACTACAGAGGTAGTAGCCTCTGCTATTCAAAGGTGTCCGTGGTATATGATGAAATGTTTTCCATTTCAAACTGGTTTGTGTTTTTTAAAAAAAAACGGTAGGACAAACTAAAACCACACACCAATAACAACACTGTATTGAAAGGTCCATTGTGTTGGTAAGTTCCTTTAAACTACTATCTTGGAGCTATCCTGTTGAGTGGGTGTTGGTGTGGGTAACAATAATGTTGTTTTCATAATATGTGCTGGCAGATTAGCACACTTCTCTACAGTGTTAACAGTTGTAATTAAGGAATAAACAGTGCAGGGTGTCAGTCCGATGACAATTTCATCTATAGTGTCACAATACAAAATGTCACAAAATATTAGAACTGTTATATAACTATAAAAAAAGTATCAGCTTAAAAGCTGAAAGCCTTTAAAGAAAAAAAAAAAAAAAAAAAGGAGAGAGAGACAAGAAAGGAAGAAGAAAGAAAACTGGCATAGCAACCAGAACAATTTTATACCTTCTCAAGAATGTTCTGTCATGAAAATAAATTGATAATTTTTTTTTTTTACCCTGTTACATGGCAGTTTGGGTTCTAGCCATCCAATTGATGTAGCAGGAGAATGCAGGGTGTTTATTTTTTTTTTTGTTTTTTTATTTTTTTTTAGCAGCTTTGAATTGGTAAACAGATTTAGATACAGTAGAAAGGAACATGAGGAAGTTGTTTTTTTTAACATCCAATCTTTCTTAGCATATGCACATAAGAAGGTGAATGAAGCGATGTGAAACTTATTTCTCTGTAGTCAAGTGGAAAAAAAAAAAAGCCTAAACATTTGTTAGATGGTAAAATATTGTGTCAAACAAGTAAGCACATTCCAAAATTAAACAGTGGTTGATACTTGAACGTCCTCAAATATTTGAGTGTACACTTCCTTTGAGATCTGTAAATTAAATCACCAGTAGGTTAGATTAAAATACTAAATGAATGGCAAAAGACTCATCTCAGAAAAGATTGGAGGGTTTTTTTCTCTCTTAAATCGACTAATTTACTAAATTGTTTTTTTTTTCCTTTTGAAATGCATAAATTGAATACACCCTGGATTACGATTTAGGGCTGCGGGGAAGGTATTCCCAGGCTTCAACTGTATCATTTTTCCTATTTTAGTTAATACCTCCAAAACTCCCAGAGATGACTTTATTCCCAGCCCCTACAGAGCTCCCTCCCACCCCCGCCTTGCGGACTGTAACAGATTGCACCACATGGTGTCTGTTAAAAAAAAAAAATCCCATAGGGACCTGGATATTCCATTAAAAGGCTTTAAACTCCTCATGGCAAATTAGCTTTACTTTACATAGGAATTTCCAAAGATTGTTTTCTGTGAGGAAGGGAGAGATACCATATATAATGTATATTTTTTCTACATCAAGAAATCAGACAAGGAAAAAGAAATGTCACCTATTCATACCTTTCCTAAGTCAGTGTCCTTACCAAATGCTACCTTGTACCCACTATTCTCACGAAAACTAAACATTTCTCATTGTTTTTAGGATAATGAAATGATCAAAATAAAAGTCATTCCAAAAATTGAGAGGTTTTTTGTTTTTTGTTTTTTTGTTTTCCAAAGCCTTTTTTTGGATTGTTGGCAATTGCATAAATATTCAAAGTGAATTTTCTGCTGAAACACTTCTGGTATATGAAATTATTAGACTGGATAATGCTAACATACAGAGAGGAAGGAGCTGTGGTTTTTCTCTAAACTTCCGAAAAATACATTTTAAGTACTGAGGAAGAGCCAGATTCTCTGGAAGCCAGAGAGCTGGTCTTTTTTCCTGCACAGGATGCAGCGTGAACAAAAGTGAGGTCGAACGGATGGTTTTTCTCTGCATTGTGCACGAGGTGTTTTAACTGGTAATCTTAAGGCTGAGATGACGAACATAATCTTTAACTTTCATTGCAGCTTGGATTCTCTGCATCATCCCCCATTTTTCATCAAGAAAAAAAAAAAAGAGGGGCCAGCACATGGCATAGTGGTTAAGGTGTTGATCTCTCACATGCCCAACTATTAGTCCTGAACCTCGTGTCATGCTTTCTCACTTTCTCTGTCTCTCTCTGGAGAGCACATGTGCCCTATATCAAAATTCAAATAGTAATAAAAAAATTAAGTAACTTTCTTTAAAGTAATAAAGAAATGGGGACCAGCAGATGGCATAATGGTTACGTCATTGGACTCCCACATAGTTGACCATGGTTCAAGTCCTGGACTGGGCAGCTTAAAACTCATACCAGGTTCGTGCGTGTGTGTGTGTGCGCCCAAGATCCTGAGAGGAGAAAGGGACTACGGTGTGGCCATTCCCCCTAGGGGATGAGTTCTTGCTTTCTGTCTCTCTTCATCTCTCTGGCAAGCACACACACCCTATAGCAAAAAAATTTCTCGAAAAAAAGTTTTTTAATCAAAATTAAACTTATTTGGAGATTCTTTCCTACTTCTGAGGTAATTGGAGACATTCAGGGTGTGTGTGAGAGAGAAAGGTAGGAGAAAAACCAGGGTTTGCGATCACCACTTTTAGAGAAAGATACTAAGTTTTAAACAAGTATTAGTGTATAAAATGGAATGCACAAGGCCATGAATTTGGCTTCTCACATCCTTATATTTTGTTTTTTTAAAAAGCAAGCTTAATAGGACCAGCAGATGGTGGAATGATTAAGTTGCTGGACTCCCGTGTAGTCAACCACAGTTTGAGTTGGACCCAGTGGTTTAAAACTCAAGTCAGGTGTGTGTGCGTGCATGCCCCAAATCCTAAGAGGAGAATGGAGGAAAAGGGACTGTGGCATGGCCATCCCTCAGGGGGGTGATTTCTCGCTTTCTCTCTCTCTCCAGCGAGCACATGCACCCTATAGCAAAATTCTCTATTGAAAAAAAATAAAAAGCAAGTTTATTTAAAATAAAGCTCACCATCTTTCCAAGGAGTTCCCCCTGCCTTATTAGAAACTGCCCAAATATAATAGCTACATGGTTTACACACTCTCAATTCAATAGTCACCTATTCTTGACCACTTTCATTTTAATTAGGATAGTGAGGTATCTTTTTTCAAGAGTCACTGACCAAAATCTCTTCAGAGAAGGTAATAACCAGATGAGCTCAAATAACGGAAGGGATAAAAAAAGCCTGTGGTAACTGGAAGACAAGGAGAAGGAGAGAGAGTACTCTGAGAAAGCATCAACCTGTCCTACCCCCGTGTGTTTCTCTTAGAATTTAGAAGTTCATTTGTCTACATAGGAAATATAATTCCCCATTGCAAGTAAAAGAGCATTTAAGTCTTCTGGGACAAACATGGGAGACGTGTCGAGCTTTGGCAATTAGGTAGAAGGCTGATTTGAGAGTTGACACCTGCCATTGTGCTCTCCCTTTCTAGCTGGAACCAAGATTACATCCTTACTAAAATACCAGCAAAGGAAAAGGACTCCCGCAAAGCCAGAGCCTAAAAATGCTTCCGGACATCATCTTACCTGACAGAGTCAAGTTTCCCTGCTTACGAGAAAGAGCATCGAGTCCCCTAAGTGATCGTCGTGTTTTAAAGTTCTTGCTATTTTAAAAACTCAGTCTCCTGTCTCAAAGACAGACTGCGGTTCCGCTAGATTGACTGTGTTGAGACAGCCAACAGTTACGAGGAGAGGAAACCATTTTGGAAAGCAATGGTTTACTTTGTTTCTGTCTTTTTTTAATGATTTTTGCTCATTTAATCTCCATTGTTAGGGTCAAGAATGTATTATTATTATTATTATTATTTCCTGAGTCTAGGTTATCAAAGTAGGAATGTTTCTGATGTTTTATATAATACCACTTTGAGAGCAATACTGTCAAACTAAAAGAGACAAATTTTCATTATATATATGTATAAGATTTTTTTTAAGAACTATTTATTTGGGGGTTGGCAGGTGGCAGGGTGATTAAAGGCTCTAAACTGCCACATGGCTGACCAAGGTTTGAGTCCCAGACCTGATGGTTTGCTTTCTCACTTTCTCTCTATGTGTGTCTCTCTGCAAATGAGAAAATAATAATAATAAGTAAAAGTTAAATAAAATCATTATTTTAAAAAGTTATTATTTATTTATCTGGTATACTCACCAGAGAGAGTGAGTGAAAGTGCGAAACCAAGCTGCCAGGTGCAGGACTCGAACCACCAGCAGCCACGTGGGCATCTAGCGCCTCAATGAGAGCACCACTTGCTGGCCCCTCATTATATAATTTGTCTAGTACATCTTTCATTTTGTCTCCCGAAACCACTTAAATTACCTTCCATACCTTGTTTCCAGACATTTAGAAAGCCTATAGCACAGATGTTTTCTTATACCAGAACACTATCTCAGGCAAAGAATACTGACTTGCTAGAAGGGAACAAAATGTAGAGCTCTTTAAAATGATACCCAGTAAACGCAGAGGAGGATGACATTTGAGCAGCTTTCATTCGTGCATTCATTCATTCGGCAGACTTTCCTGACTGCTTACTGCAGCAGGCACAGTTCTAAGCACCGAAAGTACAGCATTGAGTAAAACAGACAAATCCACATCCTGGTAGAACCTGCATCCAGCAGAGGCAGCAGGCGGAGAGGTTAGAAGTGGAAATAGAGTACTCCATGCTATCCTGGCTAGGAAGAAGGGCTGATGTAGTAAGAGCATCTAAAGACAGTCTTCTCAATGGTAGAAAACAAAGCAGATTTCCTAATTTCTCAAATATTCTGATGAGAACCAATACTCCCTCCTCTTATTCGGAGATCTTGAGTTGGGGTTCTCCAGTGAGGCAACATTTCCACTGCTACACATTTTTTATTTCCACTGCTACTCATTTGGAAAGAGTGTAAGCTCCGTGACTACATCTATGATAAGGCAAAAGACAAAACTCATCACTACTTCAACAAATATTCGCACATCCACGTTCATAGCAGCATTCTTCACCATAGCTGAAACGTAGAAACAAGGCAAATGTCCGCGTTTGAATGAATGGATAAAATGTAGTATGAACATACATGGAATATTGTTTGGCCTTGAAAAGGAAGGAAATTCTGACACACGCCAAAACACAGATGAACCACGAAGACACAATGCTAAGGTAAATAAGCTAGACACAGAAGGCCGAGTAGTGTATGACACTAATCAGGTGATGTATCTAGATTCATAGAAAAAGGATGAGGAATTGTGGTTGCCAAAGGCTGGGGAGAAAGAAGGGAAAGGAATTAACATTAAACAGGCACAGAATTTCAGCCTGGGAACCTGAAAAACTGCTGGAGATGGAGGATGGTGACAACTTCACAGCAATGTGAATGTGCTTAATGCTACCAAACTACATGCTTAAAAAACGGTTAAGGGACCAGCAGGGGCGTGGGGGTTAAGGTGCTGGACACTCCCACATGGTTGTATCTCTGGTCAAATTAAAAAA